TCTGCTTTGTTGTAAATGTAAGGAATTAATTTAAAAAAAAAATCGAAGTAAACTGTCAACAAGTTTTGCAACATGTATATCAATTTTATACACCTAAAATTAAAGACTATAATATTCGTTTTCAGTTGTCGTAAATCATTAACTAATATCATTCTTTAACATGTAAACAATGAATGCAGAAGTAGAAAATAAATAAGTCAAACAAATACTAATCCGTACCTACCTTTTCAAATCTTTCCGAATTCCATTCTTGCATCAAAAGCGTTTGGTGTAAATGATGCTATTTCAAGAGATTGTCTGGCAGCAATACCGCTCAACTGGAGCAAAATTCTTTAAATTCTGAATTAATCCCAGTTCCTTGTTTGTTTGATTGCTTTTGTCTATTTACATTTTTGTTCATATTCATGATATTATTGTTCTTTACCTCATAATTCAGATTAACGTTGCGCTATGTGTGATTCAGAAGGTAAATGAAAGTGATTTAGGTAACGTCCATAATATAGAATGAACGCCAATAATATGTGTCAAAGACATCTTGACCTTAATGCACAGAATGGTATTACAAGCTACGATATCAATTCTCTGGTCGATGATGATTTTGAGGTTTGACTTCCTTACATCGTCATTTCATTTCCACTATAAAAATTTAGGCTATGTCATGAAGTATTGAAGCACTCTTTCAATTATTCCATGACTTCGGAACATTTCGAGGTCTAGTATTAGAGCGTATAACCCTCTTGAGATGCGTCCAAACTCAAGCCTTGGAGATCCTTTTTTTCCGTCTCATTTTGTAGTTGCTTGCTCGTTTCGAAATTATAGTACTCAAGGAGAGTTTTAGAAAAGTCATTGTCTATTAAACACTACATTGCCTTTTTGGCTTACGTAAAGCATACCACATACATTATGATATTCAGATGGTAAGAATCTGACTTTCTTACATAAGTAGATTCGTACTATCAAGACTATCTTGGATATTTTGTTTTATCTTAGTGGTTGCGTGATTCCTCGTCAGACAATATTGTGCTCCAACTTTACCAGATGGATAGATTGGTTGGAGTAATGCGGGAAGTAGCAGCATCCAGTTCCATCTGTCTACGCATTAAGTGGATTTTCGTTGATTCATTCTTAGTCAGCACAGTTAATTTTGTTTTCTTGGTTTCCATGCAGTTTTTGTGAAGGCATTCCACTCTTTGTCTACAATACGCCACTTCCAAGTCATCATGATGTGTCAGGCTTTGTTGAACTCATTCCTTTTTATTGTCTTAGGTGCAAATTCCCAAATTCACTTTTTCAGTAATCAGTTTCTCTACCACCACGTGTGCGTTTTTGCATGGTCTCATAACGCAGTTCATTGTGATGTGATTTCGGTAATCGTACTCTAATATGCATTTCAGAATTGCTTCTTTTGCAAATTTCAAATTTATCGGTTTCAGGTAATTGGTAGTTTGAGTGATACACTGCGTTCGGTGTCATTGGAAACTGGATCAGAAATACCTTTGTATGATATAGAAATTGGTAACCGTAATGGCACCATTGCCGAAAACTGCGCTAGTGCAACTACTATCTCGAATAAAGTGGTTGATGAGAGCACACCTCTAGCGAACAACAGTTTAAATTTGATGTCAGGTGATGACGTTGGTCGAAACACCGATATTCTCACGCAAAACGTTATTAAAACATCATTAATTGATAGTACAGATCTTTCGGTGCATCCTTACCACGGTAATCTTACAGAAAAGCTAAATTATTCTTTGAAATCCGAATTTGATGGTTTTTGTATTGCTATAATTACTGTCCTTATTTGGTCAGTTGTTTGCAGCGCCTAGAAAAAATAGTACATGGTCCTTTCGAAAGAAACTTATAAAGCCAATGTTAAATAGTCCTTTCAAAGCCTTTCTACAATGTTATTTTTTTTGCTTAAGCGAACAGGAGCAGGAGATGTGTTTTCCTTCCGGCTAGCTTCGATAAGTGTCTGTTGTCATTCAATACTAGCCAGTAGATGCATTTCCGTACCTCAATGGGATATTCAAGTCGAGAATCAAAGGGAAACTTTTTTTGTAGCTGAATTTACAGAAGACCCAATCAATATAGTTGAGTCGATTCGAGCTGATTATCAAGCTGCACAGCAGTCAGCTAAGCAGGAAAATGAGTTACTACGTAAAGCATGCGAAAAAAAGAACGAACAGATAAGCTTTTTCTATTTGTCTCTTCTTCGTCCCTAGTTTCATCCGTCTATATATTTTCCGAAAATTATAGTAACATTCTTATTTAGATTGAAATGTTGCGCCGTAGACTGGATGAAGAAATTGCGCAGAAAATTCAGCTCGGTGCGGAACTGGAAGAGACTCAGCGCGTTCTCAGTGAATGCAGGTTAGTTGTATTTCAAGTCATTTTTTAGTATTTCGAATTCGTGCTGTTTATTACCGTTACAGCAACTAACAGCAGACTTGTTACGGAACTTTTACCAAATTTCAGGATAAAAGTAGACGCGGAGGTTGCCAGCAAAATTGAGCGTGACGACATTATCAAAGTTTTGCAAACCACAATTGTACAGCTTCAGAGTAGCGGTATGTATTTTATACTTATGTATTTTATACTATGCACTTTTGTGATTGTTTAGTTTGTGAACCGTTGTGTAAAGAATCCCTGTAAGCTGTTACTGTGGAAGTAACTGGACTCACTTTATAATATTTTACAGTATCTGAAACACTTAAATATAATTTCAGCCATGAAGTGCAGTTTCCATTTTAATTCAATCCTTTGTAAACTTAGAGGTTGTTGCATGAAACAGCATGAAACACATGATTTTAGTAAGGGTCATCTATGTTCTAAGCAATAGTTAATGTTTGGAAATTTCAGGTGATTCAAGTTGCCTTGGATCAAGTATAATTAACGAACAAGCTTTAGTTTCTTCGCTACATGAAAAAGAAGAACTCATTCAGGTATGTTTTTATAGCGCTATCTGTTTTTATTTTCAAATGTAAAATTTGGTGTGCAAGAGCTTGGTGTATGCAGGTGTATGCAATCGTATGCAATTTGGTGTATGCAGTCGTTCCACTCATTCATTCGACGGAGATGTTTTATATTATGATAACAGATTCATGTTTGCATAAGTTGCAGTATACTTGATGTTCCAGGCACTGAAAAAGCAATTGGAGGGAGCTGAGGAGCGGTATGAAAGAGAGCATAAGGAAGTACTGGATTTAGAAGAGATAGTAAAAGTAAGTTTATGTGGTTTTGGAACTCGACTTTTGAGCTTATAGTTCCAGTCGATTTATTTCGTGAGAAGTTTGAAGCAAGAATCGTCTTTGCTTTACTGATGATTCTTCATGATTCTTGTACTGTTGCTTACCTCAGATCCTTCACGAATACGTCCAGAATGATCAGCAAACGCGTGCGGAATAATTGTGACAAGGACACTATTCCAGACTATTCAGTATCGAAGTAGGAGTAGTGACAACATCTTTCAGCGAGACATATTTCACTCTTCCATAAAAATTGCTGTATTAAGAATTCGTAATGCTCTTTCTTTACCACCTACTTGTGCCGATACCCATAAAAGTCTCGGGTCCTTTTATTTTCTTATTCTGCATAGTTTCTGCTTTTTATAATCATTGCAAAAACTGGATGGCTTACTTAAAACTCATTAATTATGGGAAAAACCGTTCTCTATCGAAGTTCCCTTTTCTTCAGCTACTATAAATAATTCCACATTTGGAGAAAACTTCGAATTTTCGGGGCATCATCTGTAACTGTCTTTCTTCTACGAAATAAAACTCATTGCCTTCAAAAATTTTCTCATTAGTTAAAGCTTTTTTATCAGTTTTGTTTCAAGAAAGTTATTTATATGGGATGCCAGAAAATCTTTACTCCTTTTTTAATTTCTGCATTAGATTCACTCGTAATGATATTCACATTATTTGAAAATTTTCAAGTGAAATTCACTCGTGATGATATTCAGATTACTTAAAAAGTTTGAGTGAAATCGAATTACTCGATGTGTAGCATTCCAATCCGTGTATATTGTGTACAAGGATCTGGATCATATGCACCTTAAAATTTTTTTTTCACATTTGTGAAGAATCTTACCGATGTATTTTCTATCTTATTGTCCGATATAGATACAGTTTATCCTGGAAAAGATTTTTTAAATGTATTTCTTCGCACCAATTTTTCCATACCTTATCAGAAATAAGTCCCGTGAAAAAGGAAATTCTTTTAGTCATTACGGATGTTTGTGTTCTTCCAACACATCATCTGTTTAACCTGTTTGTGAAAATTCCAAATTCCATATGACCATAAATTCTAATACGTATAGGTATTCAGGTCTAGGAAAATTTCCCTGCTTGCAGATGCACCCTGTAATGCAGTTTCAGGAGGAATGCTTTTTCCAAAGATAAAACGCTTTAGATTTTTGAAAAATAAAAATGAATTCATAGTGCAGAGACCCAACGGAGGATCCATGGGTCTAAAAATAGCATGGTTTCAGGTGTAAAAATAGGTTTGTAAGTTCTTACTGATCTATAGGATGAACTAATGCGGTGTAGGAACAATCAATTCTCATCCTTAGCATCTCAGTCGCGTAATCTGTATTATTTGCTTCCTGAAATATTGTTTGTATAAGACTTGTTAAGATTATGTGGACTAAGCTTACGGTTTTCACATCGTCGGGGAATACAAAAATGGTAATACTATATTATGAAAATATCTTCTCCCTACCAGATCGTTAAATCCGACGTTTACGCAATTTTTGGAGTATGGAATGCAGCAATCAATGGAAACTCCTAACGTTCGAGAGATTTAGAAGTAATAACTCCCTAAAACTTCCTCTTCTTTTCCCTCCCGCTGAAGTATATTATCCTCAAACCGTCAAGCTATAAAATGAGATTTTACAAGCACTAGCGATCAGTGTTCTCCGGAAGCCTCACCATCCAGTTTTATGGCGAATAGAAAAAAATTTCTCTGATATCAAAAGTTGTGGTAATTGCTCCGAAGTTCCACACTCAAATTCTATTGAGGCTTTTTTAATTTGGAGGACTAAGAAGTCAGGTTAAAGAAATCCCTAGACAGTGGTATCACAGGAGTTATAGCACGGAGCAAATGAAGAACAACTGAAACTACATGGCATTCTCAGCAATAGTGGTACTTGAATAAGGAAAAATCGGTGACTACTACCATCCCACACCTCTAAGAGAACGAAGATTTGAAGACAACCCGAACGACTCATTTTTAATTTAGCATAACACCCCCTTGCGAATATAAGTGTACAATCCCATCCCCTACGACCTCCCAACGATTTATCTACTGGCAACCATATGCATATATATATATATATATATACATATGATATATATATATATATAAAGCTATAGAGCAGGAAATCTCCAAAACACCATCTATTACAACATATACCTGCATGAAGAACCCAATGTGCAAACTTCCCTCCAGGGCAACGAGTCACAACAAATTCTAGGCTGTATATGGATTGTAATTAGCTACCCTTTCGTCGTGAAAGAGCTCATAATGGAGTTCACAGAACGAATGTAAAGACGTAGAGGTGGGAAATTTTTATTTCAAAAACGAAAACAGCTCTAAACGCGATATTCTAAAATCCGAGCTATTCGTTCGACACACCGTTCCTACAACACGTTCCTCCTTCCTCCATCAACAACCTGTTTACCTTCAGCGAATAAATAAATTCTGTGCAATACGTAACACAATTCTGCCATGAAAATTTGATTAAAATTCATAGCTTGGATTCCCAATCTTCCGCAAAAATTGAATCAGCGATTTGAAGATACGGAATCTCTACTAAAACAACGATATATTGATAAGCGGTGCTCTTCTAAAATGTATTCGCCGGGAAAATAAATTGTACCAAAAATGTGTAACAGACATCTCTTGCTATGGTAATCTTGAAGTATAAAACAGAAATATCCCGTGTTCACAATTCAAAAACCTAGCCTTATTTCATGGAAAAACATGGAAATCAAGCGTAAGAACGGAGTAATTAATGCTGCATAGATTTATCGGAAACGTAGAATGCTGTTTCTTCTCTAATATGCAAGAGTTCATAATTCAGACTTAAAAATTTTCGTATTTATGGCTAAAACATGTGAACAGCAACAATATTCCACACATTATATAAAAAATGTTCGAGGATGAGAACAATTTTCCAAGCGCGCGGGAAAAAAGCAGTGCTTGGTAGTAGCGACACATCGAATAGACAAAAAATGTTGATAGATTTAGCAAACAAAACAAATGTACAATAGTTCCGTGTTAATTACTTTCTGCAAAAAATTTAGAACATACGATTCGTTGAAAAACGAAGTCAGAGGTTACAAAGTATTATGGACCCACTTGATATATACTAATACAGATTACATAAAACTATAACAGCAGATTATGCATGATCCATACCAACTGAGTATATCCCCGATAACGAAATTTCGGGTCCAGTTCAATATCACCGTGAACTTATCAAAAATAATTTTTTTACTGCAAACCAACTCCAGACACGCTTTCATTGAATACTGTACAATTTTAGTCTAGAAAAAACTGAAATTGCAAATATTAATGAATTTTTAAACGCTGCAGTAGCAGACGAATAAATACAATTCTTTTACCCTAGATGAACAGCGTGCTGGTTCTCCATTAACGACACTTACGACGTCTCACGCTTTCTCAGGCATTCTTTGGAAATTTTCAGTAAATGTTTGGTTTTTTGCAGCCAAGACGTGTAAGCTTGTAAAGTACTTTATGCCAGAAAACTCTGAAATTTCATGCTACATTAAAACCAATGTCTGAGATGCGAACGTGAAACGACAAACACATAGTCAGTTACTGTTAACTTAGAAAACAAATGTAAAGTGACCAAAATGACGACATATGATCTGGATAGAAATGTGCGCATAAAAAATAGAAAGAAAACTTTATCAAAATGTTTAAATGCGCGAATACCATATACACATACGCACACACACATACAAGTACGCACAACACACAAACACACATACACTCGCACGCACATACACACACATACCACATAAACATACACATACACGTGTATGCACACAAGCGTACATCAAAACGCACGCTTACTTACACACATTGATTTTCATCAAATATAGCTATAACACACAAGCATTCATACTTTCAGGCTCTTATACAAACAAGATTAGATCAACCAATCGAACTCGAAATAGCGCACCATTTGAATAATAAGAGTGGGAAGAAAAACAGTGAAGTCAGAATACATCTACTTGATGAACGAGCTAGGTTAAATATTCAAAAACTAAATCTAGGCATATTTCAGAGAAAAAGAAACCCAGCTACTACCTTGTGAGAAAATTACGGAAAACATAGTGCGCTACTATTACCCAGATGCGATTTACCACTACTTACTGGCAAACAAAACGTTGACCAATAAAACCACTAGAATTTATGCGCTTCATTGTGCGCACAAACAGCTTTCACCAACAGGGTCTGCAATGAAAAACTGTTTCTTACACAAGGAGAACTTATTTTAAAAAAAGTCAAAACAGTATTAAACAAAAAAAAAAAAAAAAAACCAAGACCTTATCCTCACTGACAACAGCAAAGAAAAAAACCAAGAAAAACTAGC